CACAAAAAAATGCTAATATTTCTTAAAAAATATGAAATAATATGCAAAAATCAAAATGGATTCCTTCCAGAAAAATCTACTGAAAGTGCAGCAATAGATCTTTTTAATTTCATACATACTTCTATCGATCAAAAGTTGTTTGTGGGTGCGCTTTTCTTTGATTTGTCAAAGGCGTTTGATTCAATCAACTTAGATGTCGCTATTCAAAAATTGGAAGGGCTTGGTTTTAGAGGTAACTTTTTGTCTTGGTTGTCATCTTATATAAATAACAGACAGATCTATGTCAAAGTTGGAAATTGTAAATCTGAACTAGAAAGTGTTGATATGGGTGTGCCTCAGGGATCAATTTTAGGACCTCTAATTTTTCTATGCTACATAAATGATATGCCTAATCATATTAACTCAGAAAACATAATTTTATATGCAGATGACTCAACAATTGCCACCAACGCACAATCAGTAGATGAATTAATTAGTAAATTAAATGTTTTATCTAATGAGTTTACATCATGGTGTTATAGAAATTCTCTAATTGTTAATTCAAACAAAACCGTTTGCCTTCAGTTCTACTCCAGAAATCAAATTACCCAGAATTGTAAAGTAAATGTCAATAATGCAGAAATTATGCTCTCAGATGTTACAAAATTTTTGGGCATACATATTGATAGCAATATGGGTTGGGATAGCCAAATATCTAATGTTTGTAAAAAATTAAACAGCGCATACTATGCAATACTAAAATTAAAATCAATATTTACCCAAGAGCAACTGCTTAATGTCTACTATGCTTTAGCATATTCTCATATATCATACAACATTATTCTTTGGGGTGATGCAGTCAATGCATCTAAAGTATTTATCTTACAGAAAAGAATAATCCGGCTTATTTTTAATCTAGAATTATTGCAAACTTGTAAATATAACTTCAAAAAATTTAAAATATTAACATTTCCCTGTATTTACATTTATAAAACGTTGCTATATGCTAAACGCAACATACGCCAATTTTTACAAAATTCAAATTATCATGAATACTCAACTAGGAATGCAAATTTATTCAGAACACCAAGACACCAAGACATTCAACAGCATTATTTGAGAAATCGCCTGAATTTGTTGGAATTAAATTTTTTAATCAACTCCCTGATTTCATTAAATCTGAAAAGAAATATGAACCTTTTAAAAGAAAACTAAAAAACTATTTAGTAGATTCATGTTTTTATAATTTATCTGAATACCACCATATTTTAAGGTAAATGTTTTTCTAATTGTATATTTTTAATGTGCATGTCTTAGATATATATATATATATATTTTTTTTTTTGTATACTGTACCTATATTTGTATTTTAATATTTTTTATTCATATATATTATGACTTATCCTATATCATGTAACATGATCCTAAAGGACAAATAAACTATTATTATTATTATTATTATTATTATTATTATTATTATTATTATTATTATTATTATTATTATTATTATTATTATTATTATTATTATTATCGCATTGAACATAGTTTGGACAATCATTTAAGAATAAGCAACAAAATTCACAATGAAAGGGTAAAAAAAATAGGGACGTCTTACAACGAGTAATAGATGTAACTTGTTTCCTGGGAGAGCATGAACTAAGTTTTAGGGGTCACAATGAAGCAAGTGGATCCGCCAATCGAGGAAATTACATAGACCTTCTAAGTTTTTTTAGTAAAATACGATGATACCCTAAAAAATTATTTTATTGATTCGACGACACTCCGAGGTACCTCAAACAGAATCCAAAATGAATTAATTAAATGCACTGCCGACGTTGTGTTGGATCACATTAAAGGTGAAATTAAAAAAGCACCTTTCGTATCAATTAATTGCGCTTGATGAAACCACAGATGTAGCAAACTTAAGTCAATTATCCATTGTTGTGCGATATGTATTGGATAGCATTCCTCAAGAGCGATTCTCAGGATTTTTGGACGTCACTAGCAAACGAACTGCAGATGCATTGTTTAAAATTGTTTGTTACATTATTTCAAGTTTAGAATGTGGTTCTAAGCTTGTTGCCCAGAGCTACGATGGTGCTGCCGTAATGGCTGGCCATTTAGGAGGCCTTCAAGCTAAAGTGAAAGAGAAGTTTAAACATGCAATTTTCGTTCACTGTATAGCACATAGACTTAATTTGGTTTCATCGCGAAGCATGGATAATATTAAAGATTGCAAAGTTTTCTTTTCGACGCTTAGTGGTTTGGCTTCCTTCTTTTCAAAGTCATCGAAAAGAACTCGCGCTTTGACATTCACGTTCAAAAAAGGTTTCCAAAAGAAAGAGAATTAGAATTGATAATGTCGGCGACAGAGACCTCCTATCGTCGATTATACGCCGAAATGTTTGATAATATTTTACAACAAATGAACTCTCGATTTCAAAACTTCAACGAATTAAAATTTGTTGAATTGTGCATTTTTAATATTAGTAACTACGATTCATCAAAATTTCCATCGGAAGCTTTGTAACATTTTAAAAGTCTAATTATAAAATGTTATTTTAAATGTGTGCCATCCGGTATAATTTAATTATCGCCAACACACAATATTCTAAAGAAAGGGAAATTTCTTGAAGTTGGAGTACCACTAACCAAACGATCTCAAATTAGATTTGTAAATTTCATTTTATTATTACCTTTGGATTGTATTGGTGGTGCATTTGGCTGTTAAAGTGGTAAGCATAAAAAGTATATAATGTCTTTATTAAATATCTCAGTAGAAATATTATTCAAACCTTTTGTTAATTATTAGTTTTTTAATAGTAAAGTTAAATATATTTTTATGATTCATTCTGGTTGCTAGAACTGCACAATATGTATAGTCACTAGTTTTTATTATCTGATTGGTTCATTTTTTAAAAAAAAAAGTAGATGTTTCAAATTTATATATCGTACAGAACCACGTGAAAAACAAAATCTATTTTTGTCTAGCAAACGAATGGAATCAGCCATAAGCCATAAGCCATAACGACATAAGCCATAACGACATAAACCATAACGACATAAGCCCTAACGTTATAAAACCATAATTCAACCGCTGTAATCTGAACGTTGGTTCTCGAGGAGCAGAAATCTCTTGTGAAAAGTTAGTTGATTGGAAAAGCGACAGCTACAATTCGAAGCTTCATAAGAAGAAAGATTAACCGACAAAGGCGTTGGTTTCCGAGGGACAGAAATCTCAACTACCTATGGCTATCTAGAAGTGGTTAGCTAACAAAGTAAAATGTGGTAATTACTAGTGACTAGAATTATTTATGTACGAATCACAATTTGATACCTGATAACTGTGAATAATTTGTTTTCGAAAAGGTTTCTTTTTTAAATAAAATCATTAATTTTTATAAGTATATATGTTGAATCTTATTTTTTTAAAGGTCACAAAAAATTCTCTTTCATTCACTAAATTCTGTATAATTTTTATTAACTTCCTTTTACTGATAAAGCTAGAATTTATAATTCTCACTAGCTTTTAAAAATAAAAAAGAGAATATTGGTGCCCAACGTTTCCTAGAAAGATTACTACCCTTAAAATTGTCTATTTGAAAAGCCGAATTCACGACAGAGAAAAGGACGTGCTCATTTATTTTTTTTATTTTTAAAGGTAAGTAACGTTTGATATTAAATTTCACTGAGCTAGTAAAAATCTCTATAAGTGTTCTGAAATTAATATTTATCAAAAAGGTAACAAATAATATTGCAAATTGTAGCCTAATGGGTCAATGGAATATTGCAGCTTTTAATTCACTAAAATTAAATTATGGACATTTTTTCGATATTCCAGCATTAAAGTCCCAGTTAAGTGTTGTTTATGAAACAACTGAAATTAGTGTTAAATTTTCTTATAACAACTGGTTTAAATAAGTCCCTTTGTGAAGTCGTCAAGTTGTGTGAATTTAGTACTAACCATCCCAGCCACAAGTATGTCAGTTGAACGAAGTTTTTCAGCTTTAAAGCGCATTAAAAGTTTTATACGAAATTCAACAAGTGAAGACAGACTCTGTAATTTAGCCTTAATATCCATTGAAAAACACCTTGTTAAACAGTTATTAGAAAATCCAAAATTTTAAGACGATGTTATAGACAAATTTGCAGCCATTGAGGACAGGCGAATAGATCTTAAGTATACTTAAATGTCAACTGCTGTGTCAACTGTGCGAAAAATGCTGGAAAAAATAAAAAAAACTTCAGTTAAATGATTTTTTTACGTTTAAATAAACTAAGGAAGCTTTTCAATGGTAAGTTTTTTTATAGCTTCTAGTACTAAACTAGGTAATAAAGTAATAGTAACACTTCAAAAATCTCAATCTCGAATATCCGTAGTACTGAGGGAAAAAAGCAAGATTTTGACAAAATGATGAAGCGCTGCGAAAATTTTTCGTCTGCGGCGCTGTGCTTACTGGCCTGTTATATTTTTATACAATCGCTTCCCCTTCCAAAAATGTTACCGCACGCCACTGAATTTGTCATAAGTATATATTATTTCAACATTAAATGCAATCTCTATCTACGTATCTGTAACGTGTGGAGGGTGGGCTACCCAGAGATTTATCTATGGGGCTACCCCACACACACAATTCATGTTCAAATCGTTCCATGTACATTGATTTGATGTGTGCCGTATTAATAGAAATTCAATTTCTGTTGATATGACATGCAGATTATAAAAAATCGCTATACATTACCGTCTCGATGATGGTGGGTGAGGTTTTCCGGGTTTTCCTCATCTGTAAGTCAAATGGCACCATCAATCATCTTTAAGTCGCCCCGGAGCGCCACGGCAAATAATAATAATAGCCGTCCCTTTCCCCGCACAAGCTCAGCTTTTGGGGTTAAAATTCACTCGTAAGGGGATGAATTAGGGAGAGTAATATTATTATTATTATAAGAAATATTTTCTTGTCATTATTTTGACTCTCTCTTTTTAATGCTGGTGAGTGTTCATGAAAAGATATATTTTTAAATAGAAAACAATTACTGTTGACGCATATTTCGTTTATTTACATTAAATATTTACAAATAGAAGACTCGCTTAAATTTTTTTTATGGTTTAGTGGGATTTTTCATGTTCTTTTTCTTGGTGATGGCGTTCATGTTGATTTTCGTGATGGCGTTCGTGTTCTTTTCTTTCATGGTGTCCTAGAAATGCAAATTTTAAATATAAATGTTCAAATTAAATAAATATTCAAGTCAATATTGACTTTCTATCAAACATTAATCAATTATTGGTCAATGACTGATTTTTCCATTTAACCAGAAACAGAAAATAAAATAAAGTAATATTTGCAAGCGTTGGTGTGTATTGGTTTGTATTGGTGTAATACTGTACTAAAAGTAACCTTAACAATTACTCAGAATCACAAATGAAATAAATAATAATTATAGTACGGTAAGCAATATTACCAGGATTGACATTTTGTTGGTTGTGTAATCAACCAGTAATTTCATAAAAACGTACTAGATTCTTTCTTGTACGAAAAGAGAGCAAATGTAATATAATTGATCTAGACACAGTACGAAACTATGACACGCATGCGTATTAAAAAATTGGAGAGCTATTATTTCAATACACATATGCATATTTGAAAGGCGTTCCTAATTTCTGCTAGAACAAACTGCTAGGTACCTAGATATATTTTGTTGAATATTGTAAATTATCTGCACTGAATAAACTTTGTCTTTAGACATAATAAACAACAAATTGCTTAACATTAATTCCCTAAATAACAAAAATGGTACAATTATACAAACTATGGCAACAATGTATTTCTATTATGTTTTTTTTTTTAATTTCATGGTAGTAATTTCGGTACGATAGCACAGTTCATCAAAAGTCAGGTGACTTTTTTCATTTGGATTTTTCCTTATAGATGACGTATTAGCAGTAATTTCTATTTTATGTTGATACGACATCCAGATTTAAACCCCAGTGTCTATAATAATGTCATATAATCTGTAAGTTATCCCGAAGCTCCATGTCAAATAATACCCACATAACATCAATGATCTATGAATATACTAAGAACACTCTGTTTATGTTCTTTTTGGTATGTCCTTTTTAGAATGTGCTTAGAACATGCCTATAATATACTTAGAAATATATTCTATATTTTGCACGTTCTTATACTTAGGACGTACTATTGCATACTGTACACATACTTGAGTATATTTTCAATATTTGTATAGTACGTATAAACAACGTCTTGTAAAATATACTTAGTATATTCTGAGAATATTCTAAATGCAAATAAAGTATATTCTCAGCATATGCATAATCTTAAAAAGTATGTGCTAATAATGTATAATTGTTATCTGGGTAATAGATCTCACCTTATGCTGTCTGGGGTTTACACGTAAATATGAATTGTAGACATATAATTTTTTAATAATATCTGACAGAAGCTAGCCCTTTGAACATTTTGTTTTGGAAAGTTAACGGCCTTTAAACTCATGTACGCTACTTCAAGTAGTGGCCTTTCGGTGGGGATCTTCAATCAGTGAGTCGACTTTTTGTCACAACGGGCGGCAGAAGACCATCACTTTACCAGCAGTAAGCAGTAAAAGGCCTGCACAAGGCCAGCAGTTTCCTATATTATTGTTAACTATCCTTCAATGAACTTACATAAAGCCCGTAACTTCTCTAGGCATAAGTAGTGAATGGCCTGCACATGGCCAGCAGTTTCCCGTTGTATTAATCTTAACTTCTCATCAAAGACTCTTAATATGTAGCTTAAATATATAGCAAGGGATCATCGGTGTCTCCATCTATGCACGCGGGACGGAGCCCTTATCCTGGACTGTTGGTGTTAGGTCTGGGGCAGTTAAAAGCATTTTGACTTTTACCATGCTTTTACAATTGAATGTGGTAACAGATAAAAGCCTATCGATTATTTAAACTTGAAAGGCAGTGAATTACACATTTCAAACGGGCCATAACGATTTTACAATTAAATGTGGTAAACAATTAACAAACCATCAACGGCCCATCGAAAAAGTAAAGTTAACGAGCAGATAATTACAAATTTCAAAAGGGCCACAACGAATTGACTGTTACAAGTTATACATTGTCGTCACATTCGTTAAAGAGCCAACAACGTGCCACAACTTAGATTATATTTATATAGGTATTAAAACTGAAGAAAAGTAATGATTTACAATATATATCTAAAATCTGCCAATCACCTTTATTGACTTAAAATAGTGGTAAGACAATGCATTAAGCCATCTGATTTAAATTTTATCTTAATATCTCTTGGTCTCAAGTGGTATATGGTAGTTTTTCTACCATTCGCAATTTGTAAGATATGCTCTATTTTGATACCCGACTATAGTTTTTAAACTGTTAAATCTTATTATTAGGTAGCAATTAGTAGGTACTAAAATGTTAAAGACATCAATAAAAATATCTACTTGCTAGTCCTATATGACTTTGATTGACATTTTCTATTCAAAAATATTAGATCACCTTTTCTGAACATGTTAATCTGGTCTATCTGGTTTTGCTCTGTTTCCCATCATTAGAAGTTAACAAAATAAATTATTACTTAGCTTTGGTTTAACTCTAATTCCAATACGACAATATCAAAATTCGTACGAGCAACCGCAAATGAATGACCCACTTTAGGAACATTTTTGTGGATCACTCCCTAATATAGATAGAACATAAAAATCAGAATGAATCCATTAGGATCTGTTCTTACCGTGATTTTTTAAATGAAATCCACTGCTTATAGAACCTGAGCCTTTGGAGCCTCCAAAAAGGCCAATTTCTCCAGAAGATTTACTGGAACCACTTTGTACTCCTGAAATCAAATAAAAAAATTAATCATTTATCTACTTAACATAATAATTTGATATTACAATTATTATAAAAAATAGTTATTTTATAAGCAAAAAATGAACCATAATTAAAATATTTACGTATTTTATTAGGAAATTCAATATTTAAGTTATATATAAGTTATATATTATATGATAGTTTTGCAAAATCTTAATTGCATTTTCAATTGATACAAAAATTTATTTCATAATAAATGAAATTATAATGTGTATCATTTTCAAAGACTCACCTTTAATGCCATTATTGATAAATCCACCTAGTCCTCCTTTTCCGCCACTACTCCAACTCCAACTTCCGCTTCCTCCACCATTACTACTTCCGCTTCCTTGATTTCCTCCAGACCCAGCTCCGCTTCCTCCACCCCTACTACTTCCGTTTGCTTGACCCCCTCCAGACCCACTTCCGCCTCCTGAACTTCCTCCACTTGCAGATCCGGATAGTCCACCTGAACCTCCATTTGATCCTACTGTATGTTTTGCAGGAGGATTCCTTCCTTCTCCTACTCCTCCTCCTATTAATATTGCACCTTTACCACCGCTTGATCCACCTCCTCCTATTTTTATTCCACCTGAACTGCCAATTAATCCACCACCACTGCTGCTTCCAGATCCACCTGCGACTCCAGATCCATCACTGCTTCCAGTTCCACCTCCTCCTATTTTTATTCCATTTGAACCGCCGATTGATACACCACCATTGCTGCTTCCAGATCCACTGCTGTTTCCAGATCCACCACTGCTTTCAGATCCACTTGCGCTTGCACCACTGCTTCCACCACTGCTTCCACCACTGCTTCCACCAGTGCTTCCACCAATGCTTCCACCACTGCTTCCACCACTGCTTCCACCAATGCTTCCACCAATGCTTCCATCACTGCTTCCACCAGTGCTTCCACCACTGCTTCCACCATTGCTTGCAGATCCATCTCCTCCTAGTGAACCGCCAATTGATCCACCACCACTGCTGCTTCCAGATCCACTGCTGTTTCTAGATCCACCACTGCTTTCAGATCCACCTGCGCTTCCACCACTGCTTCCACCACTGCTTCCACCAATGCTTCCACCACTGCTTCCACCACTGCTTCCACCACTGCTTCCACCACTGCTTCCACCACTGCTTCCACCAGTGCTTCCACCAGTGCTTCCACCATTGCTTGCAGATCCACCTACTTCTAGTGAACTGCCAATTGATCCACCACCACTGCTGCTTCCAGATCCACTGTTGTTTCCAGATCCACCACTGCTTTCAGATCCACCTGCGCTTCCACCACTGCTTCCACCACTGCTTCCACCACTGCTTCCACCACTGCTTCCACCAGTGCTTCCACCACTGCTTCCACCACTGCTTCCGCCACTGCTTCCACCACTGCTTCCACCAGTGCTTCCACCACTGCTTCCACCACTGCTTCCACCAATGCTTCCACCACTGCTTCCACCATTGCTTGCAGATCCACCTCCTCCTAGTGAACCGCCAATTGATCCACCACCACTGATGCTTCCAGATCCACTTCCACTACTGCTTCCAGATCCACTTCCGCTAATGTAAAAATAATTGATATTAACTTTAAATTATCAATTTATATGACTCTAAATTAAAACTTATACAGGGTTTTCAACAATACCCGTATCCCACGTGGCTAAATTGATGTCATCAGGTGAATAAAAGTAACATTATTAACATAATAACTTTAGTAATAACCATAAAACAATGTCATTGAACTATTTGATAGAACTGGTACTTAAGTTGTCTTAAAAGTCGCTAAGAACGGATATTTTCTTTAAATTTCTTATATTACCAGATCACGTGTGATACAGGTATTGTTGAAAACTTGTTATATTATTTAACGAGTATACACTATGATACAAATAATTAATTAAAAGACCTTTCAAATGATGTATCGCATGAACTACATTTCTATTTAAAAAATCATCGATGACCCTATCGCGTTCATATAAATGACGGGTTTCAGGATTTTTTCCAGAAGTCAATATTTGCATCATGCGATCTAGCTATTACACACGAGGATACATTTTATGCGCAAGCCGTAAATCCTCCTAGTGAGTAATAATGGCCACTATATGTTGATAACAACTCCAATAACTTAACACAATTTTGTTAGTAAGATAAGAAAATGTTTATTTATTTATTTATTTATTTTATTACCAATTTTTTCAATTAATTTTGTGTGTAAATGTGAGAAATTAATTTGAATTTTTACCTGCTTCCGTGGTGTCCAAATATATCGTCCCAGATACTTCCAGAAGTGGTTGTTTCTACCTTAACAGTGGTTGCTTTGCCGCTACTTCCACCAATATTGAAAAAAGTCTTAATAATTGCTTGAATACGAGCAACAAAAGAAGAGGCTAAGCTAGATTCAAGTACAATTTCAATCTTAATTTTGCCATTACTTGAAGAACTTAGAGCAGCACTTACAGCAGCAAAGATTTCTTTGCAACCAGGAACAGCTTTAAGTACAGCGACTACATTGAAGCCACTTAGAAAGAATTTAAGAATAGATGTCACGCTAAATCCTTTAAGGATATTTACTAAAATATTTCCCTCCAATGACACGTTAATAATTATACCCAGACCTTTGAGTATAGTTATTCCAAGTGCTGAAGTAAGATGGCCGATCAAATGAAGAAGTAAGGCAGGAATAGAAATGGCAACAGCTACGGCACCACCAATGCTAATAAGAATTGATACTACTAGTGTTAAACCGACTTTAGCAGCACCTGCTAAGACAGAAATGATTGCTGAAATGTTGATACCTTTAACAATAAGTTGCCCTTGTTTAAGTTGAATTAAAATATTCAAAAAACCTGCTAAATCCTTGTTATCGTTAATTTTGATATACTGCACTACTTCCCATAAAGCACCTATATAAATGTCAATTTCGATATCTCCATTCGCTTGTTTAGAGGCAGCATATTCTACCAAAGTTGCCAAAAATATGTCTATTGTAATATCACTATCCATGAGGGCCAGTAATTTAGAAACGACACTGAATACACCAGTAACACCAACAGCTATTCCTCCACCAAGCTGAGCAATCAGAGCAAATAAACTTTTAGGAGAGTTTAGAATACCAGCTAATAGGGCAATATTGATTTTTCCAGAGATGGCTAGGAGAATATTGATTAAAATTTCGATTCCATTAGCTGCTCCAAAAATAACAGCTAGATCAAATTTGACTTTAGCTTCGATTAAGGCATCTATTCCTCCTTTCATTGTCCCTATAACAAGTTCTAAACCAATAAAAACTTGTTGTAGCCACAAGAGGTCACCATTAATTTTAATAATACCTTCTCCTACAAGGCTGAAGAAACCTTTAAGTGAACCGTTTAGTATAGTGATGAGGGATTTGCTTATATTTACTAAAATACTGAGTCCTATACTCTCGTTAGACTTAATTTGAAGTGCGATTTTGGAAGATAGTTTTGCCATAAGACTGGCTATCAAACTAAGCTGTGCTTTTGAAGCTGTACTAACACTGAACTTGACTCCAATGTTAAGATTAATGATTACTTTAAGAGAAATTGATTTAGAAAGGTACATTTCTAAAGATTCTTTTGAAATGCGCCATAAATTATTATTTGTACTAGATTCAATGTAGAGTCCTGTTCCATTGTCTATACTGAATATGAAACCACCGCCTGTTGATCCGTCCAAGAGGGCCACTATACCTGCTTTGAAATTTATGATGAGAACGATATTCGCCTTAATGTTGGCAATTGTAATTTCGCCGTTTGACTTGTTAATAAAAAGCTGAAGCTGTATGTCTAATGTTGGTGTGCCATTTCCGCCGGTACATTGTAAAGCGCAGAATTTATCCGCATAATCAGCTGCTCGGTCTTGGAAGGGGGAGAGATGATTTGTTTTCGATCGGGGCGCCAAATATTTGGCTCGTTGGTAATCTGAAAAAGATCATTGATGCCATTATTTGATGATTCTCGTTAGAGCAGAGTGGACTTTATATTTTACAATTTTTATAAATTAGATCCGAAAATTTATTTATTTTGGGAGCTAAATAATTTCAGAAATGATTGAACAAAATTCGGAAGGATTTCGACAGGAAAATAAAACCAGTGTAAAGATGAAACAAATTTCCATAGTCTATCTTAGTTATAATACGTATATTATAGTCGGAGAGCTAGTAACACAAATTTCATTGTTTGATTCACTTTGAAATTTTGTAATTTGAAATCATTTGGATGGAAAAGCAGATATACCTGCATAATAGAAAGGGGTCGTAAAATATGACCCAAAAAAAGTGTTTGATTCAGAGGCCAGAAACAACAATTAAAAGTTTAGGTAATTCTAAAAGTACTAGTAATTTAGGCAGACACTTTTGAGAGGGTTTATAATTAATAAATCAACCCCAAAGTTGATTTTTTTTAAATATGATTTGAAGTGTTTGATTCACGCTGAAATTTTAATAGCGTCTTAATTAAATATAAAAAAAAATTAATTCCTAAAAGGCAGACATTTTTTCCTATTCCTATTTACTATAGTAATAAATTGTTATATATTATTATAAACGATTCCAAACTTCTATCAATATGTGCTCGGTGGCGCAGAGCGTACAGTGGTCAAAATTTGGATAGTGTGGATAGCAAGTTGGTGGTTCGAGCCCCGAAACTTTTTGTTTTTTTTTGTTTTTTTTTATTTTTTTTTTTTTTAAAAAACAGAAAAATATTATTGTTTTATTATTTCACAGTCTTGTTAATTTAAAATGTTTAGTTTTTCCTTTTTTTTAAGAAAAAAAAACTAAAAGTTTCAGGGGCTCGAACCACCAACTTACGATCCACACTATAGTTAGTATAGGCGATTCAAATTAATTTGCCCGCGCCTTTTTTATTTATGTTTTGACTTGTGGTAGGCTCGAGTATTTTTCGCCTTTTTAATTATTGTTTTTAGATAAATTAGATAGCATTACTTATAATAATGTTTTTGTGAGAGGGTGGGTTGGCTCAGTGGTTAGACTCATGACTTTGAGATCGAAGGGTTTCAGATTCGATCCCGCTGGTGACAGGATTTTTATTTAATTTATCGAATTAAATATTAATTCTAAAGCATAGGAAGGATTCCTCGCTCGACCATTCACTGTTGGGTTCTAATTAACAGTGCTGTTCCTAAAGTGGCTCTGGGAAACAGTAACAAAGCCTACAAAGAACGCGAGGTTAATAACCGTAGTAATTGATGCCAATTATACACACAAAAATAAAAACGTTTTTGTGTTTTGTTTATTGATGTAATATATTTATCATGTGTTTAAGCGAAAATCTATTAAAAATGGTAAACTATCTAGATGTAATACCACATAATAGATGAACAATACGAAAAAGAAACATAGGGCTACGGCCAAAACCCTAGACACTGTAGCCACGCCTTATTTATGGTGAAGCACCTCTATAGTGGAGGTTAGGTTAGATTAGACCGAAAATGAGTAGAATAATTTAATGGCCCTCCACTGCGACCCTGATGGATTTGTTGTGACTCATGTCTAACTTATAGTTCACCGGACCAGCCACATCTTTTAATGAGAATTTTAATGAAGGCTATTGTTGAATGGGGTGAGACTTGTTTGAAGGTGGTAGGCTCCAGTCTTGTGAATCCGAAGATCTGAAACCTAGTCCTTTCCAAGGCGGAGTAGGTACATAGAATGTAGTCTGCACATTCGTCTTTCACGCTGCAGAATAGACAGTCCGCCCTTTGTTTCAAACCTATCCTTCTCATTATGGTTACCTAGACGACAGTATCCTGTGAGAATACGTAGAGCAGAGGCGTTTAAGGAAGGATTGGGTATAAACGCCTACAAATGAATTAGCCCTAGGGTATCTCTCCGGTGTTACATCTTTGTCCATTTTGAAATAATTCCTCTGTCCAGGAATGGTTCTGATCCTATCAACGCAGATTGGGTTCCTTTTTTAGTGAGCGCGTCGGCTATTTAATTGCTCTCCATATTGCTGTCCAGAAACCCAGATAAAAGAAACTTTTTTGGGGTCACCGAGACACTCGAGGGTATTTATACAGTTCCAAACTAGCTTTGAGCAAACTTAATTGGGGCTCAGGACCTTAAGGTCTGTCTGGCTATCCGAAAAGCTCTTTATAGTCTTGTTTGCGATTAGAAAATTATACAACTCTCTCGTCCTCACTTCCAATTCTATATCGATCATTTCTATTTGGAAAATAGTGGCCAAGGAGTCCAGGTTTATTGATATGTCAACTTTTGGCTTCTGGCCGAAGGCTTCAACTTCTGCTCCTTTTTCAGTTTTGAAGGCGTCAGTGTACGGTATATAGTCGTCCACCTGGGAGAGGGTTTTCCCCATGCTCCATACGTCTCTCTCTCTGAAATGAGGAAGCTGTATGAATTTCCTGTGCTGTCGGGAAACTAGCAAGTATGACGCCATCCGAGGATGTGGTAGTTATTAAGCTCACTCATCAGCCCCGTTTTGACTTCCCACCTTCAGGAGTCTATAGGAAATCATTCTAGCCTCCCTTACCAGCAAAATTTGAAAAGGGGTCTTCATAGATCCCATCGGTGTATTTGACATTGCTCCAGTCATGGCAAGGGAAGAAAACCGCTGGATTCCAGCAAGCTTTTCTCTGGCCGTCCGTTGAAGTCCCTTATCTCACCAAACGGTGGAGCCGTACGTAACCATAGGTTGACGATGGTTTGATAAATCCAGTAAATCAATTGAGGACTGGTCCCTCGTGCTTTGCTGCATATTTTTCTAAAGGGTTGGGAGGAATAATGTGGCCTTGTTGATTTCACCGACACGCAAGAAAAAGTGGTCAGTACATTTGACTAGACCCACCTAGGGTTAGGTATTTCGATTTGCTGAATCAGAATTTGAGGTCCATTTAGCCCGTACACCCTCAAAATTTTGAGCAAACTGTAAAAACCGCTAGAAATGGCAAAAAATCGCAAAAAATTACAATTTACTTAAAATTTGAGGGTGTTCAGGCTAAATACATAACCCTAGGTGGGTCTGGTCAAATGTACTGACCACTCCTTTTTTGTGTGTCTGCGTTTTCAATTAGGGGTACCAGCTGAGCTTCTTATCTAGGATAATCCCCAGATATTTTACTTCCTCCGCAAAAGAAATGGTTTTCCCGGCCAAGATAGATTGGCGAAGCTTGTAGAGTTTTCATCTCTTGGTGAAGGGGACGATAACAGTTTTGCGGGGGTTAACAGACATCTGTTCCCTCTCGCACCATCTAGGACTTATTGAAAGATGTTGGAGATCACCTCTTCGTACTTCTCCCTAATTATGATAAGCAGATCATCCGCGTAGCATTGGAAATCTACCCCCTGCTGATATAGATCATCTAGTAGGTTATCCACCAAAATGGTGGAAATGAAGGTCAGAGTATATTACAAAGATCGATATTGCAAAAGAGGTATCTACTTAAAATAGAATATATTGAGGGTTGAGGTTTGGATTAATTACAGATAAGATAGAGTATCGGTCTTTTTTGAATCTTGAACTAATTTAGTGCTACATTTTTCTATAATTTACAGTAACTATTTATTACTTGTAAAAAGGAACAAAAATATACAAAAATAATTAGTTCAGTGACTGTTCAACGTGCTAGCCATTTTTTGTAAGTATTTTAAGTATATTTTTTATTTAGAAAAAAAATATTTTATCCTTTTTTAAATTTTTTAACTTATACGTAAAATGCTACTTTTTTAGAAAGGAAAAAGAAGAGACTCTCTGAATACATAAAACAAAACAGATTCTTTCATTTGAAATTACATAGACTGGTAGAAATCGCATTTTATTTTCTAAACATATTTAAAAGTTATATAGGTTTGAAAAGGGTAAAATATAACGGGGCGTGCAATATTTAAAAATCTCGATCTGAACAATGGCAAAAAAATTGAGAAATAAAATCCAAGTTCTATTGATTCCTATGAAGTAGAACAAGAATGTCATTTCTAAATGCCAGTAGCACATCAAAAATTATATTTGCATAATAATACAAAAAGACATTTTACAAAGGGGAATTAAACATATTGCCTTTGCAACGGCTATATTAAAGAGGAGGAAGAATTAACATGTCCTGACACGACTGACTGACTCATTAACATACTTATTAAATATTTGCTATTTTTAATATTTTAGAACATAGCAATTATAAGAAAAATGTTTTAAATATTATTTTTTTTAATATATTAGTTATAGGTTTCATAATTTTTGGAATTAAGGTTGTTATTTTTATTCTTTCGATGTTTGTATATATAGTTTGCAGATTTATTTGAAAACAACTAAATTGTAACATCAAATTTAAAAAGTCCAATTAAAATAGGACAATCTCAGGTGCAAACTGTAGCAGTATCCCAGCTATTTGTTAAAACACCACCGAGAACAAGGCTGTGACTGTTATAGGCCAGAGTCCCAAGGCTTTAGTGAATAGATTATGAAAAGGCACATTTTCTTAAAGTAAAATTTACTCAGTGTAGTTTTACCCTCGGCGATTTTGGGAAACTGGTCAATCAAACAAGATTTGAACTGTCATTGGAATATTGTGTTTTGAATGACTATTGTAATCTAGTACAATATATTCTCTTATTATTTTTAACCGCCTTGTATAAAATGTCTATGTACGTTTTTTTAAATATCAACAATTTATTTACCTATAATTAAATTATTTTTTTTTTCTAATTTATATGTAGTTTTATAAAAAAAAGTCTTACCATGCCCCAAAGTACTCCCCAAGAGAACACACAACAAAATCGAAGTAACTTGATTGTTCTTCATTTCGATTTTGAACTGAGTATGACTTAGTTTTTTTACCTATTTATACAAAAAAATACATATTCACAGAATTCGTAAAATGTATTGTCGTTTACAGAAGAATGTTATGTACCCTCAAAATAGATAATTTTTGAATAAATTTTCATGTTACTCCATTTTAGTAATATGTATTGTATGATAGATATTTATTACTTGATTGTGTTGAAGACATTTTTAAAATTTTTTAGCCATTTTGAAATTTTAACTATTCAAATTATAGTAAATGGTATTATTATGGAGTTATGAACATTATAATTATCGTAACAAGGGCAATATATGTAAAACAAATTACAATACGAATATCTCGTATTAAAAAAAAAAAACTAGAAAAACTAAATGTTAAATTATTTTTTCATTTTTTCAGTGATTTCTATCTAGTTCATAATATCCAGTCTAAACACATCTACGTATCTAGATCTTTACAGTGGCTAGATGTTTGATGTTTTCGGTATCATCCTGCCTTTTCTACATATCAGGTTGTGTAATAATAATAATACAATATCAGGTAATAATTTTATTTTTTTTATTTATTTATTTTATTACAATATCCAACAGGGTAAGGAAAGGAATATTACAAGAATTGGGAATTAACATAAATAATTATTCTTATGTATATACATATATAAACTTAAATCTAAATAAACACGAATTTAAACAGATATGGGTGCATCCTGAAAAAACTTATATAAGAAAAAATGATGCATCCATTTCCGCCTTTAATAATGACTGCGCAAATTAATTTGACAAAAAGATACTTCTAATAGATGCAACAGAGCAATTAAGAATATCTATATCATCTTCAATGTTCGAATAGTTTAGGATCATTTGAAATAAAGGCGATGCTCTGTATATGTTAGTTCTATGTGCTTGTTGATTGAATAGTTGATTTCTTCGGGAATTAACTCTAGGGACGTGAAATACAATCCACCTTGTTATTTAATGACTTGAACAGAAATATCACCGAGTGCATTGCTCTCCTTTTTGAAAGACTACATATATTGAAACGGTTTAAATAATAACTTTGAGGAAGTTCTCTTATAGGATAAGTACCATCACTTAAAAAACAAGCTGATTTAAAAATCTTCGTTGAACTCTTTCCAAATGGTTAATGTGATTGGAGTATATCGGACTCCAAACGATACTGGTATATTCTAATTTTGACAAAACCAGCGAAGAGAAAAGTATTTTCATCGTTGAAAAGTCATTGAATAATCTCATATTCCTTATAACAAAACCTAAAATTCGATAAGCAGAAGCAGTTGTTTTTTCAATATGCGATGTAAACGTTAATTTTGGATCAAAGAAAACTCCAAGATCTTTAATCAGTTCTGGTCGATTTAATGTAGAATTTTGTAGTTTATAATTATATAGTATTGGTGCTTCCTTTCTAGTAAATGTCATTACATTACATTTTTTAACATTTAACGGTAACTTATTTCTTTTGCACCATTCGTTTAAGCTGTTAAGATTCTCTTGAAGCAATAAACAATCATTATAACTAGAGATTTCATAAAAAAATTTTAGGTCATCGGCAAACAATAGATTTGTGACGCTCAAATTACAAACAATATCATTAATAAAAAGCAGAAATAATAAAGGCCCTAAAACCGAACCTTGCGAGACGCCGGATGTTTGTTTGAAATTCATTGATTTATGCCCTAAGCACTGAACATAAAGGTAACGATCTGATAGATATGACTGTAAAACATTTAATAAGGAGCCATGAAATCCAAGTGCTGAAAGTTTACTTATTAGAAGTTTATGATCAATTCTATCGAATGCTTTAGAGAAGTCAGTGTAAATAACATCGACCTGACTTCTTCTATCCAAAACTTCAGAAATATAATGAGTTATACAGATTAGATTAGTTACAGTAGAGCGACCAGCAATAAAACCATGTTGGGTTGGACTAATGATTTGGCGAAACTGAAATGAAAGGAAAGTATGCACAAGTATTTCAAAAACTTTAGAGAAATTGTTTAGAATTGTGACAGGGCGATAGTTGGATATATCATTTTTGCTGCCATTTTTAAAGATTGGACTAACTCTAGCTAACTTCCACATTTCAGGAAATTGTTGAGTTTTAAAAATAAGGTTGAAAATAATAGAAAGAGGTCTGCAAAATACCTGTGCACAGTCTCTCACCAGAAATGCCGGAACATTATCCGATCCACTTGTTGGCAGAGCAGTTAGTACTTCAGCTTCCGTTACTTGGGTAATGTTAACTATATTGTTATAATTTTGGTATTCTAAAAAATCTTTAACAGTATTATCAATTGGTGTATAATTTCCTGAAAAAAACATTGCAAACGAATCCACTATATCTTTAGGTTGATTTAAACGCTTGTTTTCGAAATTCATAGTGTTGGGTATCGTTGACAGATCACCCTTTCTGAAATTTATAGATGACCAAAAAGTTTTAGGATCAGCCTTGATATTTTCTTCAGAACATTTCACATAATTACAGTAATTACAGTAAGGTAACTTAGTTTTAATTTTAATGCCAGTTCTCAGTTGACTGTAAATAATATAATCTGAATTACATTTAGTAATCTTAAATTTTTTCCAAGCTTTACTTTTTAGTTTAATACTATTTATGATTTCAGAATTAAACCACTGAGGATAATGTTGGTTAGTTGGAATCTTTTTTGGAACGTGTTGGGCAAATATAGAGTTTAACTTATCCTAGAATGCGTTTAAAACTTCATCAACATTACAGCCGCTATCTAGAAAAGACCAGTCTGTTTCTAATAATATTTTATAAAGATTTCGAAAATCTGCTTTTTTAAAATTGAATCCATTTGGAGAAGCCGGTGAAAGCTTTTTGTGCCGCCGAAAGGGTAGCTCAATAATTAGTGCTGGATGATTAGGACCAATTGGTATGCTGCTTTTTCTACTTCACAATCTTTTATATTAGAGAAAACAAGATCTAGTATTCGATTAAAATAATTTCGTACTTCATTGAATTGCAATAAACCGAAAAAACTTTGAAAATTATTTAGGGATAGCATTTTTCTTGTTAAATTTACCTGTGACTGAAATTTATATGTTGCATATTCAGTAATGTTAAAGTCACCAACAATCAATAATTTATTATCGTACAATTGACACAACGATTCAATTCCATCCAGCAGAATTTCAAATTCCTCATTTGATGTATTGGGTGGAATATACAGGTTCAGGACGTACAAGTATACGTTTTCGTACCTAATACTTACGGATATCATATCAATGTTAAACAAATCTTTTAGAAAATCATAACAATCATTTAAAGATGCAGATAATGTTTTTCTTACAGCTAATAGAGAACCTCCTCCCCTGGTATTATTCGTCAAAGCATAACGTCTATCCGATCTAAAGACATCGTATTTTGTCGAATCAAGTATTTCATAGTCCAATTAAATAACGAAAAAAAGCCCCTTCGAGCTTACATTAATTTGTAATTGGATGAAACAAAAAGGACCTTGTGTATTTTGATGTGATCTTTCCGAAAAAAAGAAAAAAAAGATGTAGCAGTTTTTCAATTTTTTTTAAAATAGGAAAAACCGGGTTTTCCGGAATTTTCCATTATAAAAATGCTAATTATCTGGGCAAGTAACATTCCGATAGTGAAAATAAATGAACCATTCGAAAGAGGAGGCAAAAATAGTTCGGAAATTCATTGCACAGGTAGTTTTAATGGCGAATTTATCGCCTCCAGAAGTGCTTTTACCAAAAAGTCGTTTTTCGTTTTTTTGATCAGAACCATGGACATGAAATTTGCGATGAATTTGTGGCGAAATTATAAATGTTAGACATATGTGCCCATGAGAGAAGTTGCGTATTTTTTTTTGGCTCTCAAATAAAATAAGTCCCGCGGCAAAATCTGCCATCATTTTTCGGGAATTCGCAGGAAACCGGAGGGCGTAGTTTTTTTTTAAATTTTTTCCCATATGATTTTTTCCGGATTTTTCGAAAACATCTAACAAAAAAAATATATTTGAAAAAACTAACTTCGCCATCGAAAAGAGCACAAAAAAAATACACAAAAAGGTATACTTTAAAAATATTAGAAAATTAATCCTAAGTTCCAACTTGGTGATAAGCTTGCTTTTTGTTCTCTAATATCTGGTTTTTAGTTATTTACAAGAAAACTTGAAATGGAAGATATATATGCATGACAAAAATACGTATTTTCTAGTTACGTTCCGAACTTTTTGAAAAAAATTGCAAAACAATTTTTTCTTAATTTCTCGTACTTTTTTCTTAATTAACTCGAAAACTAATTATCTGAATAGAAAACTGTTTCCATCAGATGATAAAGAAAAAAAAGACACGAAAAACTGTGGCATATACATTTTTTCTAGCATCCACTGTTTTCTGAGTGCACGTGTACAAAGATCGGTAATTCTCGCGAGAATTGAAGCTACTCGAATTTTCTGGCAATTGGGAGAGAAAGTAAGCTTGTTTCTCATTAAACTTACTGATTCTAATGTATTTTCAGTCTGTAAAGTGCCCAAATTACGGAAAAAATCGACAGTGTGCTTGTTTTTTCTCAAACAAAAAGGGAAAATGTTGGATTTAAGAAAAAACCACTCGTTTTACGAGCAATTTTCTAAGCACAAAAATGCGTAGTTTTCGGTTATATTTCGAATGTCATAGGTCGCATTGCAAATCTGCAATAGTTCATCCTCTGCAAGTGTCTGATGACATAATAAACACAGGCCAGCCATTGCAACCTGGAAACAAAAAAATTATAGCAGTGTGATAGAATTTTCTTAATTTAGGAACGTACTTACTCAATAAATTGCTGAGAAGTTCGAAAAGCTACGTGTACACAGAGCTTGCTGAACACGGTTATTAAAAATCTATGCCGATGAACACTATCAAGCGATTCAATTTGTAAAAATATGACCGTTTGAAGTTTAAACTTGTCAGATAGCGAACGCCGAGACCATTACTATCCTTGATGCGACGACCGGCTAATTTGACGGTAAATCTATATTTTGCACAAAACTCAAGAAACGTCTTATAACAAGTCAGTAAAATACAATTTAATAAATCGCAAAAAAATCAAATTACAGTAATG